GAGAAGCTGAATCCTTACGGCCACTTGTATTATGACCGAGTTGGGGAGCATTAGACTGAGAAGCAGTAGGTTTACGTGAGAATAGAGACCCCATTCTACGCTCCATAGGAGTAAGATCATGACAAAGGAAAAATTTTGCCTTCTCTAGGTACGCAGTGACACGCTCTCGATGAGTAAAGATTGTGTCAACCTCGATTGATGAAAACAATTTGACTAAGATGGGTGGATTTGTACTACGGGAAGACAAGCGTTTGGCATCCGCTATTTTATAGTTGAAACCACATGAATACAGGAAACTGGTCGAAACATCGATTGGCCGAGCAGATCGAGGAACATTTTTTAGCAGGAAGTTGTAAGAACGCTTCTGTCTATCACTAGATTCACTGGCGATCAGGTGAACAAGTGAGTCGAGACGCCTACATTCTTCAGAGGGAATATCGGAGATGTTCCCGTCGAATAAATGTCCAAGAATTGTCGGCAAAGAGCCAAACTTTAGCATAAAGTCATTGCAGTGGTCAAGTGCAGACAGATTAAGCTGCCGACCAATTACAGCGGGTGACGACTGACTAGTAATATCATCTGACTTAGATTTAGGTAAAGCTTCTGACTTACGTTTAGTTAGGCCATGTTTACTTACAAGAGACGAGAGCTTACGTCGACCAGTGACTTTTGGTCTCATCTTGTCACGAGGCAATTTGTGATTAAGAAAACTTCTTGCGGACAAGTTGACTGAATTTCAGCTAGGGGCTAACAATGTAAAAATAAATTACAACAGTTAGAGAGAAATCGGATGAACAAAATAAGAATTGCAAAGTGCGATTAGTGAACAGCGGGCGTAGACTAGCAAAACTCGAAAGGAGATGACAGCGGGCAGTTCTTAGAGAAAAGGCCTGTATTTAAGGAAATTCAACCAAAAAAACAGGTACTAAAATCGTTAGATCTCACAGAAAAACCACTAAAAATAATATCCTCCACTTATTTTCAAATTTAAAACCAGCGGCTTGACCTTCAACCTTGAAATGAGGGTATCAGCGTGCGCATATACACACAAGGAAACAGGGCCCATTCCCGCCACCGCTGGCCGAAGGGATCACCGTCTCGGCATCTCCCAGATGAGGTCCCGTTTACAACCCCGCAGGAGACCACATGCATTCAGCAAGCTACTGATCCAGTGGCTGAAAGACCGCCCCACACTTCCTTTTCGCGCCTATTCTCCGCCGTTCTCCGCTGCCCCTCACCCTCTTTACTCTCTACTCTGCTGTTTTACCCCACGATTGAATGTCTCACGAATCACTGTATCGCCGCCTCCAAGACAAAGCTTCATCTGCAACTCTGCAAGAAGCTACAAGGTAAGTGACTCCCCAAATAAGCCGGATAATGCACTGCTGTCATTACTCTTTGCTCATTCTTGCCTACTGGCCCGTGCCTGCTTGTTGGTGCTTGTATATTTGTAAGCTATATGCCCTTCTGTTGAATTTTCTTTCTCTTTTTTTATATTTCAACAAATAGTTAGCTTAGAGAGGGACTGACAATTCAGCCTCCGGTCTCTTTACCCTCCCCTCACCCCTCTTTCCCTCTTTTTCAAAAGTTCTACGACGAGAGCGACAGCGACCACGTAGGCAGCCCAGGCTAACTCCGGTCGTTCTCCCACTATACCAAAGTCATTGCCCCGAGTGGAGTTAAGTAGCCGCTTGGGACAACTGAGCAGCCCTATTAAGGGATAGCACTGCCCACTCCTGCGAGTGGGATAGAGCTAAAAAAAGGTGCCCTAAACAAATGCGGCGACCACGTCCCCTGTGCGCTCACAGTGGCTGGCAGACGCAAAACACACGGTCGACACAATCACACAAAAAAATACTTTCTCTTCCCCCTCCTCCCTGTCGCCCCATCTCAAAGGCTGTTAGGATGAGTCCGCTCACTCTGGCAGCCTGGTATGTTCGTTCCTTTAGAGACAATCCTAGGAAAAACCGGCGGGAACCGAGGACGGAGAAAGTGGCTCAGGAACAGGCGCGCTACAAGGTGGTCATCGCTGCACTCAGCGAGACCCGCGTCTCCAAGCAAGGCCAACTGGACGAGGTAGGCGCCGACTACACCTTTTTCTGGAGCGGTCGTACCAGGGCAGAGCAACGGAACGCGGGCGTTGTCTTTGCCATCCGGAATGACATTGTAAAACGACTGCCCTGCCTGCCGTAGGGCATCAATGGCCGCCCGATGAGCCTCCGTCTGGCTCTCCGGGGTGACAAATTCGTCACCATCGTCAGTGTCTACGCCGCTCCAGTGAGTAACTCCGACGCCTCAAGGAACAAAATATACGAGGACCTGCATGCTCTACTGACGTCTTTGCCAAAGGGGGGGTGAGTTGATTTTCCTCGGTGATTTCAACGCCCGCGTCGGCACAGACCATGCAGCCTGGAGAGGATCCCTGGGTCCCCATGGTCTCAAAGGATCCAAAGACAATATTCTGCCCCTCCCACGAACCTGCGCAGAAAACCGCCTCATCTTGACCTACACCTACTTCCACCTTCCGTTGCGAGAGAAGGTCACCTGGATGCAGCCTCAGTCTCGAAATTGGCACCCGATGGACAATGTCCTCGTACGGAGGCGAGACCAACAGAACGTGCTGCTGACAGAGGTGTTTCCGGGTGCCGACGGATGGGCCGACCATCGCCTCGTTATCTCCAAGATGCTGATTCGCCTACGGCCACCCAAGAAACCTTAAGTTAAGTGACCCGCAGTCAAGTTGAACATTTTTTTGTTGTCTTTGCCTGCTCACCATCCCCATTTCAGCAACGAACTAGCTCAAGGGCCAGCCAATTTTCCAGTCGTCACCTCCGCTGATGGGGACGCCTCCGTGGATAACCGATGGTGTCAACTGCAGGATACAGTCTAGACAACCGTCCCGGCTATCCCCGGTCACGCACGACGCCAACATCAAGACTGGTTCTATGACAACGACGCCAGCATTAGCAAGTTGCTGGCCGGGAATAACAGCCTGCACAAGGCCTACGTCGGCCGCCCCACCGACGACGGCAAAGCAACCTTCTACCGTAGTCACCGACTTGTGCAACAGCGGCTTTGGGAGGTGCGGGGCGCCTGGACTGCTTGAAAGACCGAGGACATACAAGAATACGCGGATCGCAAAGAATGGAAGAGCGTCTTCGTCTCGATCAGGGCTGTCTACGGCCCCACAACCAAAGCAACTCCTCACCTTCTCTGCGCCCACGGAACCACTCTACTCACTGCGAAGACGCGCGTTCTGCAGCGATGGGCCAAGCATTTCAGAGGCATCCCCAGCCGTCCCTCCACCATCTCCGACGGCGCCATCGCCCGTCTACATCAAGTAGGGAACAATGCCAACCTCGACTTCCCGCCATATATCCATGAAACCATCAGGGCCGTGTGGCAGCTCTCCAGCGGGAAAGCGCCCGGATCAGACGCGAGCCCTGCGGAGATCTACAAACACAGTAGCCCCCCACTCATTGATCATCCGAATGCACTCTTACAGGAGATGTGGCGTCAAGGCGAATTCTCGCATGACTTCAAGGACGCCAAAATCGCCTCTCTCTATATTCGGAAAGGTAATCGCCAGTTCTGAGACAACCACCGAGACAACTCCTTACTGAACATCTCCGAGAAAGTTTTCGCTTGCATCCCCCCCAATCGCCTAAATTACCATCTGGATCAAGGTCAGAAAGCCAGTTCGGCTTCCGCTCTCACCGTGGTACATCCGACATGGTCTACGCCGCCCGCCAACATCAGGAGAAGTGACAGGAGATGCAAACCTACCTTCGACACGGTGAATCACAAAGGACTGGGTAAAATCCTGCGGAAATTCAACTGTCCCGAGCGATTCATTCAGATGGTACATCAGCTCTACGATATCATGACGGCGCGCGTCACGGTCGAGGGAGTCGTCTCAGAGACATGCGCAGTGACCAACGGAGTGAGGCAGGGATGCGTCCTGACGCCCACTCTCTTTAGTCTTATGTTCTCTGCCATGCTGGTGGACGCCTACCGTGACGAACGCCCCAGGACCCGCATCGCCTACAGGACGGACGGCCACCTCCTCAATCAATGGTTGATGCACTTGCAGTCACGCGTATCTGCAACTTTTTTCCATGAACTTCTCTTCGCGGACGACTGCGTCCTCAACACCAATTCTGAAGGGGACATGGAAAGGAGTAGGGATCTCATAGACGCCGCCTCCGACAACTTCGGCCCAATCAGCTGCACGGAGAAGACGGTGAATATGCACCAACCGCCACCCGACGCTGCACTCGTCACACCACAAATCAACGTGAACGGCGTGCAACTGCAAGTCGTGGACAACCTCACCCACCAGGGCAACACTCTCTGTCACAGCACAAAAATCGACGCTGCTGTATGGAGCGGAGACCTCGACGGTGTACAAGAAGCAGGCGCGGAGACTCGGTCATTTCCATCTCATCTGTCCTCGATGCATATAAGAAATGAGATGGCAGGACCGGATCACCGAAACGGACGGGAATCCTAGTACCTACATCATGCTGAGGCAACTGCGACTGCGTTAAAGCGGCCACTTCGTACGAATTGGCGACTAGTGGCTTAGCAAACGACCCTTCCATGGAGATGTCGCCACGGGTTCCAGCCGACAATGAGGCCAAGTCCACCGCTTCAACCACACTCTGAGGATTTTTCTGAAGCGTCTGCAAATAAAATATATCAACGCCGAAGACCGACCGACATGAAGGAGGACAATGCAGAGCGGCACGGCAGTCTACGAAGCCACCCGCATCGTCCAACCAAAACCGAAAGCAAAGCTCACAAATCTCCATTTAGCTCACCTCGCTGCAGCATCGCTCGACCGTCGGCAATCTGCATACGATGTCAACGGACGTGTCGGGCCCCTAGCGGACCTGATGGACATCTTCGTGCCAACCGCAGCGCCAGCACGGCATCACTTGATGTCCTCCAGTCCACCCCCACCTGACCCCCCATTTCGACAATCAGCACTGACCGCACTCCTGAACCTCAATTAAAATCATCCCCCTCCATTGCCTCCACATCCGCTCCGACGACTCCTCTACGCACCATCACTGTACATCATCCTGGCACGCCAACAAAAGTCAACCTCCCCACCGTCAACGCCAGCGGTGCGGACTCGATCCAGGCCTATCTTCATTGCAACCGCACCTTCGCCCCACACATCGACCCTGTCGGCCACTGGCGAACGAGTGTCTACAGCACTAACATACGCCATATGCATTGGCCTCAGCTGCCCTCACTTTACCCACACATTCATTCACCGCTTGCATCAGTTAGGCCACGTGCGCAGTCACAAGAACCTGCGGTAGACAACCGTCAGCCCCACCAGACCATCACATATTCCCCACCCGCAACACACAACATCATCATCTATCGCAAGTATCCAACTGCCACCTCCCACGCAAGTGGGAAATGCGCGTCTCGTCTCCATCTCCATGCGACTCCTCTGCTGCATGTTGGGTTCGAGTCTGAGACCATCAAGGTGTGTCAAGCACCGTGGCTTGGAAGGCTGGTGCCCGACGCCCCAACTCAGTCTACGCGGTTTGTCCAGTTGTGTGAATGTTTGTGCGGAATGGCGGACTGGCGGGTTGAGGGTCGGACTGAGACGGCTCCTTCTTTATTTGACCTCTGGCATTCTTATGCATGTTAGATATACGTCGCCCAACCCCTGTTGCGTGAAATCCTGATGTTTGTGCTTGGGAGGCCAGGTCGTGCATATGGCGGTCGCGGTCAAGGTCATTATGCATGTCATCCAACGCGCCCGTTAACCTGCTGGGAGTGTCTGCACTTCCAAAAAAAGAGTCAGTCAATCACTGCGGGCAATGTGCGTTTTCCTTTAGCGTGCTGTCAGCGCGATCGGGGCGCCTTGCCATTGGCTGCTCCCCTCGAGCTTGAGCTATCCGTGTATACAAACAATCGGTCAACTAGTCTTGAATTTTTCTCTCGAAGTGCATTAAGCTAAACGCAGGCGAACCCCAGTAGGAGGTTATAAATACGCGTGACCTTTCCAGTTAGACCTTCCTTGCAGTTTTCTAATGCACTTTTCGTGGGCGGTCGCGTGCTCTTTCTATGAGGCGTTGGTATTGGGGACAAGAATCGGGTGTGCATACGCTTCACGTGAATCCTAAGCACCAGGCCAATTCATAACATTACTGCACCCGTCAACTGACTCGCTTGGAAAATAATAATTAATTAATTTTATAATAATTTTTTGTTGAAGACCCGTCGGGATCCCATCGAAACAATGAGTGGGGCTTGGAAATGGGAAGGGAGAGTCAACGGCTCAGCGCATTTCCCCAACTATAAACAAGCTGACTCTCCTGGAGCTATAACGGTGCGCTAAAGACCGTGGCTTGGATGTTTGACTGCTGACCGGATAACTTGGATCTCGCAGTCGGCCCAGCGTAGTGTGTGTGTGTGTGTGTGTGTGTGTGTGTGTGTGTGTGTGT